GCTTGTGTACCATCTTTGTTTCATACGTCTTAGGACAATGAATCAAAGCATGCGGGTTCACGCATTCGAAGAACATAATACTTCAAGTCTAAGGATCGTTATACCAATAGTCGCACTAATGATAATATCTGCCTTAAGGTGGGTCAAGTATGGCATCCTATTATTAACGATAATATATGCCCGAGAGTAGATGCGAACTCTCTGTCATTGGCAAAGAGACTAGGTCAATCATCTAACTCTCACTAGTCCCACATGCACTAACGATATCCCACTCTTGTCAATGCTTCGACTATAGACCGTTTAAAATTATACTAAGTGACAAGATGTCAGTCTCAACATCAGAAGAGTCATTCTCATAAACATCTTATAATATAATTCTAGGAATGCAATTAAGAGTTTACGTTAGCATGAGATGTTTGTAAACTTATTACATCTGCCTTTAGTTTGATAATTGATCTTTAGATATTGGATTGATTCTTAAGTAAATATTTGAAGAGATGTTTACTTACTAGTAAAAAGATTTAAGGTAAAAGTAACTGGTGATTTTACTCTAAAAAGAACCATCACCTAACCAATAATTACATCCCTACCTTTTATTTCTGAAAGATAAAAGTTCAATCTCCATTCCTTATTCGACCTTTTGAAAACTTTTTGATTCATCGAGTAAATCTTGTCTAACTAGTCTTGCTTAACTTTCCCTTGGGCCGATCCTTGAGACGACACGGGATAAATTGATCTTTTAGAAGATCTAGTCTGTTCCCTTTACTACTACGGGAATTTTGCATTAAACCAAAAAATTCTTCACCAAATGGCGCCGTTGCCGGGGATCGGCGTAGAAAGTTATTAGTAAGATTTTTTTTTAGTTAGCCTGAAAGAAAGTTGATAGAAACGATTTTCAAAAAAAACCCAAAACTTCCCATTTTAGTTTATACTAGATAGTTGTTAGGATTGTTTCTCCAGCCTTCAAAATTGTATGAACACCTGTTCTCGCGGTGAGAACATTCTTCTGGGAACCAAGAACCCTGAACTTTCGCTCCAACGCCGTACCGTTAGAATTACTCGTCAACTGGAGTTCAACGACGAAGAGCGAAGAAAAGAGGAAGAAGAAGAGGCAAATCGCGAGGAAGAGAATCAACACTCATAGGAGGAAGAGGAACAAGAAATGGCGGATAATCCTAGACGAACGATCCTTCAAGCCATGAGCCCAGCGTACGTAGAGGAAGATCCCATAGGTCTCCCCGCTAGTCAAGCCCATTCATTTGAAATCAAACCAGCAATGATCCAAATGGTCTCGAATAACCAATTTGGAGGCTCAAAGGCTGAAGATCCAAGAGCGCACATGCTATGGTTTTCTAGGACCTGCCAAACGTTCCAGTCCAACGGCTTATCCATGGATCGTGTTAAACTGTCGCTCTTTCCCTTTTCCCTTCGGGATCGGGCAGGTAGATGGTTAAATACATTCCCTAATGGCCACTTCAAGACCTGGGAGGCGTTGCACTAGGCATTCATGCACGAATATTTTCCACCATCTGCTATGGTGAAAATAAAAAACTCCATCCAAAACTTCCGTCAAGCGCCTATGGAATCGATGAGCGAAGCATGGGAAAGATTCAAGGAATTGAAGGTTAAATGCCCACCTGCTTTAATTGATTCCGATAGTTTGATGTTCTACTTTTACCAAGGCTTAACGGTACGATCTAAGAAGGAATTGGACCACTCTTCTAAACTTGGTTCTTTTCTGGAGATGACACCTGAGGAGAATGAGGAGTTAGTAGATAGACTTACGTCGAATGCTAAATATTGGTATGAAGTCCGAGCTCCTCCTCCTAAAGCTGGCATGTATGAAGTAGACCAATTCACATCCCTCAAGGCTAGTATGGAGAGCATCGTGAAACAAACTATCAAGGAACACCTAGGAGCTTCCCATCCACGTCCTAATTTGTATACTGAACCGGTGAATCAAGCTGAAATCTATGGTTCTGGTAGTCACCACCAGTCCGATCTTGTCTTGTCTTGTGAGCACTGCTTTCAAAATCATCTTTCCTCTACTTGTCCCTTGATTGAACCACCCCATCTGAGTAAGGCTAAAGACCTTAATCTAGCACAATACGCGAATAAAGGGGAAGGGACTTGGGCCCAGAGCAATCAGGAGCAATGGCGGGAAAGAAACAACTTTCCAAGAAACAATCGTCCTAGGGATGACTATAAACAGGGTAATTGGAATAACAATAAAACCAATTACCAAAATAACAATGCACCCTACGTTCCACCTCATCATCGCCAACCTCCGCAAGAAGATTCTTTGGCAAGGATGGAAAAGATGATGATGGAGTACATGCAGAAGATGAATAATCTGGCAGATGATTTGAAGGAACGTGACAAGACGCGTGATAACCAACTCCAACAAGTGTTTAAACAACTTGGAGTTAGAGAACAGGGGAACCTCCGAGCTACCACTGAACCAAACCCAAGGGAACAACTTCGGGCCATAACTTTAAGAAGTGGTAAAGAGCTTCAAGGCCCGGAAGTCGAAGCCGATATAGAAGAAGTCCCTGTGGATACTTCTATAGGAACAACCTCTCAAAAGAAGTCTGAATCCACACCCCAAGAGACGAGGAGGGAAGAAACCCCCTCCAGCCAACCCCAACTAGCCAGACAAACTCAGCTAAACACTATTCCCTTCCCTACTAGGGTTAAAAAGAGCAAGGACGAGAAAGCTTTCCAAAAGTCATTGGCCAAGTTGAGGTCAAAATGCCTTTGGTAGATGTGTTAACTGAGATGCCCAAATACGGTAAATTCTTAAAGGACCTCGTAACTAAGAAGAGGGATTGGGAGGAATTCCCAGTTGTCAGCTTAAATGCTGAATGCTCTTCTATGTTACTTGAAGAAATGCCTAGAAAACGAAAGGATCCATTAACGATAGAACCTTTGGAGACGCTCTAGCTGACCTAGGAGCTAGCATCAATTTAATGCTGTCCTCTATCATGAAGGCATTGGGATCGACTGGACTTAAACATACTCAAATGTGTCTTCAATTAGCAGATAGTTTTATTCGTTACCCTAGGGGGGGTGATTGAAGACGTACTTGTGAAGGTAAATAAGTTCATCTTTCCTACTGATTTTGTGGTATTGGATATGGAAGAAGATAAGGAAAAGCCGTTATTATTAGGGCGACCATTCCTTGCGAACGCAAAGGCATTGATTAATGTGCACGACGGAGAATTAACTCTAAGAGTAGGGAATGAAGATGTCACTTTTAAAATGATGAGCGTCATGTCGAACTCCAGACCGAGCTGAGTTCTGCAACTCAGTTAAAGCCATAAAAGATAAAGGGTCTGTACTGTAACACCCTAATCCGTCCAGGTTTACAGTCCCTTCCGAACTAAAGTATTAACTTGGTAATTGTATAATTTAAAACATTTTAAATAACTTTATTCATCATAAATAAAATTCCAAACATAATTGTAGTAAATACGGAGTGTTTAATGCGGAAGCGATTTTAAACATGACTCATAACAACATAATCATTTATTTTCTCAATAAATCCACTACGACTGTCTCGCCCCTTCCGCTGCCAGGAACATGTCATTCACTCATTCTGCCTACCTGCGTGTAGCAAATAAAACACACTACACGCTCAGCGGTGAAGCTGAGTAAGCATATCTAAATCGTCGAACATCCAAATAAATTGAATCTCAATTCATAATCAACCATTTGATATCATGCACACAATACATGATTCAAACATTCATGATATTCTCAATATTTTATTCCAAGTCATTTGATATTCAATATCTCAACCATGCTCTTAAATTATTCTTAATCTAAAGCCAAATCATTTTATAACAAGCTCTTAGCTATTCCTAGTCTAAGGCAACATTTCTAACCAGGCCCTTAAACTATAAATAGTTTAATGCAGAACACAGGAATCGATAATCCACCCTATGAGTCATGTGGATTACGTAGCAACCGAACAATGATTTGTCGGGTGGGTGATATCCGGTCTGGATCCCGTACGTACGTTTTAACCCGAAATATGAATTGGTCAAGTAGGTATATCTTTAGAGTTCTTCTAGATATCCTTAATATTCATCATCAATATACAAGTGGGTATATCTTAGAGTTCTTCTAGATATCCTTAACAATATACACTGTTTTCATAATCACCATTAATTCATTTTTAATCATGACTTAATCATCAATAATCATTTTAATCAGTAGGTTTATCATTCATAATTATCCATAATAATTATTCATCATAATGATCATTCAACATAATATTTAATAGCAAACAGCGGCCTAATCTCGGGTGTTAACACCCGAACTTATCGTCATGCATCACATAATGTTTTATATGCCAAAAACAACATTTATTATACAAAATCATATTTAAATTGTTCATAACTAATTAGTGTTTTCAAAGAATATTTCCAAGAATATTTTCGGGGCACTCGAATTGAGGAAAAATCG